CTGTAATTAAATTTCTTATTGTATCTTAAAGTTTCTACTATGATATTATATAAATAAAAAAAAAAAAAAATACTATTAAAGATTTTTCAGATATTCATATATCTTATCTTAAACCAAATTAAGATAAAGATAATATTTGATTATATATATATATATATATATATATATAAAGCAAATAAAATTATTTTGTCAACCCTCCAAGTAGTAGATTGGATGTTCAAATCCTATCGATAATAAAAATTTAGTTAATTACTTATATAATATTTATATTATAGCAACTGTTACTAATGATTGAGTTAAAATATCTGTAATAACAGTTGCACTAGTATAACTGACAAGTCATGAAGCATTTATATAAGTTATAATATTGTTCTATGGAACAAAGTCTGTAGTTACACAAAAAAATGCAAACTGGCAATTGGGCAGTGCAAACACTAGATAAGTCCTTGTAGTCATATAAATTTATTAAAATTAGATAACAAGAAGTCTATTTAAAAAGATCTAATTAAAAAGATAGCTAGATCTTTGATGGCACTACTGTAAAAGCTAGTCTAAAGAAACAGATACCCAGGTCTTAGTAATCAGACAGGCAAAAACCTTCAGATTGGAAGTCTTGGAGATATCACCAACCAGGCTGCCAGAACAAATTAGAAGAAAAGGATATTGAGCAGATCTAATATATTAATAGACTGGTCATAATCCTATATGAGTCATCTGAATTAGAAGTTTGATGAAATTTAGAAGTATACTAAAGTACTGAGATTATGCTGTAAAGTAGATGCTAGGGTCTAAGTGAACTCTACAAAGATATAGTAATTTAATAATTTAGTCCTGACTGCAAATGTTAGTTCTGCTATAGTGATATTTAGATCAGCTGTAAAAATAAATACAGAAGGCTCTGCGAGGTTTATCTCGAGGATAAATTAATCCTAAGGTTAAGATAATAATCTGAACATCTGGATATGATCCAGTGAGTTAATATAAATTATAGGTTCAAAAAATTTAAAGTAGAATATCCAAGTAGAGGTGTTAGGTATAGCAATTGATAAAAAACCTTCAGGTAGGCTTCTTAAATAGGTAATATGAAAAAGTTATATATGTAACCAGTTGTATGCTCTTTTGTAGTAGTTCATTGAACTACAATATCAATAAATGATTAGTAAAAGTCAAAAAACCAAAAAGGTTACCTTAACACCAAAAAAAATAAAATAAAATAAAATTATTTGAATAGAAAAAGAAAAATTAATAAAATATCAAATTGGTATGAATTCATTTGACCTAAGATGAAAAAAGATATTGGATATATCTATACTTATGCATTACTAGAATTTGGTAAGTAGAATAAAATTGCATCTGGTCAAATTGATAAAATTGCAAAACAACATATCTTCAAAAGACTATCTCTAAACTATACAACACATATACAATCTTTAAAATCATAAACTATACTAACAGTATTAAATTATAAACCAATATTTATTTGGATCAGTAAATAATATATATCCTATTTTATAGATAATGAAAATAATTAAAAAATTTATAAGATAAGTATTATATCATAAGTTTGCTATAAAAGTTATCTAGATCTTTTACATTTTACATAATAGAAGTAATAAAACTTTATACCTTTAAGAATACTGTAAAATGAAAGATATATAATGTGAAATCTTGTATAAGAAATATATATGTTTAATAATATTTTATTATGATATAATACTATAAAAATATCTATTACACTTTAGTGTAAGGATGCTTACTAGTTTAATAAAAAAAAATAATTTTTTTTTCTTTTTTAAAAAAAAAAAATTATTATTCATAATTAGATCTTCTACATAATATAATGTTTATACTTGATATAAATTAAAAGATACAAATCAAAGAGGTATCTTATATAGTAAATTGTGATAAATATTTTTTATTAGATTATTTGATAAAAAGTAAAAAAAAAAAAAAACACAAAAATCAAAAAAGAGCAGACTGAAGAAATAGATATTGATTCAATATCTTCAATTTCAAAAAAATATGTTTTGGATTTTGCATCTATCAGATATAGTACTATTAAAGCATAGTGCTTATACTTGTATTTAATACTATGTTTTAGTAATACTTTTAATAAGTTTGACAAAATTGTCTTATTTTGGTATTTTTTTACTATTTATAATAATAATATATTTGTTCATAGATAGGCCTTACTAGAAAGTTTGAAAGTAAATCAAAAAGACTTAACCAAAAGAATTACAAAGCAAGTTAAAAAACTATTTACAACAATGTTTCATATTGGTATTACCAATTCTAGATTAAAAATGAATGTTAATGAAATGCATAAAGAAGTTTTGAAAAAAGTGTCTAAAGAGGAAATCTTCAAAGATAATATTCCAAAAATTTCTACAATTACAAATTAAATAATAAGCACTTCACAAATATTCAAGAAAACTATAACATTACAACTTCTTGATAAGGTCAAAAAATAATTATCTATATTTCAGAGTGATTATGTTATATTAATATTATTAGTATATTCATATATAATTTACTTCATACTATAAAAAATATACAAATGTGTCAAAACCTTAAAACTTGTAATTCTAAATCTGAATAATAAAATTGGCAGTTGCAAAAGTTTAATAATTAGAATTAATTTTCTAATGTCTATAAAATATTAGGGTTTAGTGTTAATGCTCTAAATTTAGAAGTCTGAGCTATCAGAATTTTGATTTGAATCATTAGTTTTTTATACTTGTTAGAGTTTGACATTTGAGTCTACATACTATTAAAATTATGAGTTGTAAGATTTTTTACTAGATTTCAAAATACTAAAAACTGTACCTTTAAGTTCTTTAAATGCCAGCAAAACAACTATAGTTTACAACTTCTTTGATATACAAAATTAGCAAATTTTTTATTTTTTGTTACTTAAAAGTGTTAATATAAATTTGCAATCTACTACTTCACTTTCTAAATATAGTATTCATATATAGTAAAGTTATCGAAAATAAAATTATTGACTAGTTTTAAAACAATTTATGAATTTTCTAGTCTTTTTTTGCATCTGATTTTATAATTTTTATGTACCAAAAAAAAACTTTAACTTACTAATATGGTATTTCATATAATTCGAAAAGTCTACTAAGTAATTGCCAAATTTTTGCTCTATTTGCCTATAATAAATTTCCACAAATCACATTTGAATTAGTAATTATAGTATTTAAAAGTAAAATCTTTGAATAAAAATAAATTTTAACTATTGTAATAAAATTTACTAAAAACTATCAAGCTGTAGCAAATTTTAAAGTGATGAGTATCAAGTAGAAGATCTTTTATTTAAAGGAAAATAAAATAAATAAAAATAACTAAAAATAAAAAATAAATATTTAAAAATGAAATTT